TTTAGATCAAAATTAATTCATTCAATCACCTAATTAAACCAAAGAGGGCCACTTACGTCTTGTATAAATAGCCTCCACACTGGAGAAAGCAACAGTGCATGAGGGAGCTACGTTTACGTCACATAAATATACATGGATGTCTCTCTCCCCGGAGGATGAGAGTTTTGCCTGGTCCTGCTCCCCACCACAGGCAACGGGGACTCGGGGTGGCTCCGCCTCGCGCAGCACACGCAGCCAGCGCGCGGCTCTCCTTGCCACGTCCACAGAGAACCTGCACGTCTCCTCATCGAGGAAGGGCACCTTTAAACAGGCTTGCTACCGAAACTGCCCAGTTCCAAAAGGGCCAAGGACATGGAAGTGGCCCCTTAGGTACAATCAGCATTGTAAAATGCCATAAAAATTTTGTAACCTTCATTTTTAAAATGTAAATATTGCAAAAAAAATTAATGGAATGAGTCTTATTAATATTCATTTTGCGCCTCCATAAATTTGTTGCTTTAAGTAACACAACTGTTCTTTCAAACATAAATATGAGCCTCACATTTACACATCTACAAGCCCAAAATGAAAGTGACACAAGTGAAATATTAGTTCCTTTTCCACAAATAGGGATCAAAGCACACAGATCCATTAACTGAGCAGTGTCCGCCTAGTGTAAGGAGAAAAGCAAGTCTCGATCTATACTTAAGACACTGGGCAAAAAGCTCACATAGTTTCCTACACAAATGCATATAAAATTTAAATCTCCAAAATCAGTCTTCAAAAAAAATGGCAAAATGTCATAGACCTCAACAAATCTAAAATCAAACCACTTTCTTCCTAGGAGAGGACAGGGTTAAATAAATGAAATGATCATCTTTTCAGTTTGCCTGTCATACCGGTATTTAATCTAGGGAAATAAGTAAGTTCCCATTACATCAGGAGTCATTTGTTTAGATACACACTGCCCCAAATTATAAAGTAAGAGAGTCCATTAATAAGAAATAGAACTGGAAAAAAAAAATAGAACTGAAAACTCAACCCCACTGTAATACATCTATCTTTTTAAAAATGTGTCTGTGTCTAATAAAATTACCAAATGAGTTTATATTAAGAGTCTTCCTCTACATTGTCTTATATTTCTAAAAAAAGGTTCTCAAACCAGAATTAATACTGTTTTTATACCAAAGTTAAGACATTATTCTCATTCTAATGAAGGAGCACACTGTTTAGGGATAGGTACACACTTCTGATACTATATGAGACTGGGAAAAATGGAACGAGTATAAAAAGGCTTGCCAAAAATTCATTCCTAAATATAGATAAAATAACAAAACCAAAGAAAAAAGAGGGATTAAGGTACCTCATCATACACCCGAGCTAAGGCTATGTTGTTCCCTCCTGGAATATACGTATCGATTTTGTGTTAATATGAACATAAATTTAAGTGATAGCTGTTTTAAAGAGCAGTTGCCATTTAAAAAAAAAAAAACTGTCAAAGTAAGTACACTGAAAGCAGGATCTGAATGAAAACAATTTTAAACCGTGCATAATTTCAACCCAAGTAACCTAGGAAAACAGAAAACTGTAGGCATTTTTATATTTTCTTTGTTTTTTAAATGACAGTCCTTTTCTATGAACCACAGTTGCCAATTTCACATCTTCTCATGATAGAGAAGCCAGCCAGCCATACCTCAGTAAATACATAAATTTAGGCCACAAAAATTTCTTTACAAGATTTAAAATATCAGATAGGGTCCATTTCATTGGGGGGAGAGGAAATGGGGAGTGGTGTTATGTTAGCTATAATGTATCCTATACAAATTTTAAAGTAATCAGGAACCAGCCTTTAACTTCCTGCTTTGTAAGCCAGCTAATCACTTTTCTTTTAGTGGTAAATAAGGCTCTTTTTATTACATTGTATTATATTCTATAAAACTAAAGTTGAAGTAGCATTAATGGAATCCCGGGCAAATGCAGACATTATAAAATCTTAGTTATGTGAGTAAACCTCAGTATTCCTTCTGAGACTGCTCAACCTGAATACTTTATCTCACAAAACCCCAAAACTGTATCATAAAATAGCCTATTTCGCTTTTTAAAAAGACCCTCTCCCTACCATATGTGTGTGTTTTGTTCCTAATCACAAAAAACATTTGCCACCCAATATAAACCATTTCCTAAAATCAAAAATGAAACTAAATGTGTTAAAAGCCATAAGAAAATTTCATCATTTAACAACGTGATTTAATAGCATTTTATGACCTATAGTTATGTACTAATTTAATATTTTGGACAAATGACTGTTTCTTAGTCATTTACCGTAACAAATACTAAGTAATACTAGTGTTCAAAATATATATATATGTGTATATATATATAAAAAAGACACATTCCACATGTTATACGGTAAGGTACCAAAAAGAAATCTATGAATCTAGGTCATATGCCTGTCATTTTTCTTCCCCCTCAAAAATAAAAAAGCTATTCCCAAGGGTCACACTGAGGACATAATGGATTCACTCTCATTCCAAGAAAACAAAATACTTAAAATGATTGGTACCATAAAGAAATAATCCTCTAAAGTCACACGAACCTCCATCTGCCTCTATCATCCTTTCGTTTCTAGTTTACAGAGCTGTGAATTTTAAACTGTCCCTTTAAAAGCAAGCTGACAAAGCAAATCTGTTTAAAATTAATTACATGGGTTTATTTACACAAGGTTTCTCTATAATGTTTTTACCTGTGCAAATCAAAAATAAAATTGAAATCGCAAATTTTCTCTAAAGAATGGAAAAAATATATTATCATTAAAAGTAAAACTCCACTGAGTAAAGATTTGAAAGCCGTGGGCATCAATGTCCTCAGCCTGAGAGTCACATGATTATCAGTTAAATTCAGTCTTTCACTCAGACAAGTCTCTCCTCTAAGATATGATTATTATTAAAATATACCTTCCTAACTAAATGAGTTGAGTGAAAATATATATTACAACCATTGTCATTACTTTCTAATGGATTAAAATTTTTTAAACTTTCATAGCATTAAGAGGTCTATGAAAGAAAAATTATTTGGGAGGAACACACCCAACACAACTTGCATGTAATACAGGTTCCCTAATTCACTGGGTAAGCAGATCAAATAGGGCTCACATCACCTGATCTAACAAAGTAATTACGAAGGAAAAAGGTTCTTGAGGTGATTCTGTCTTCTCCAAATCAGAAGTAAATATGACTTTTAGTATTTCACAAGAATACCCATTGTTCCCTTTAACTAATCGTCTTCAAAACTTATATGGTTTTCTCACTTCATTTTATTTTTCAAATATAATGTCAATTCTAACTAAAACACCGTATCTACAAACATCTTAAAAGTTGTAATTGTTAAAAACACAAATTACAATAAGTGTAGCTTCACTCTTGTTATAAAGCTAATTAAATTTCACTAAAAAATATTGTACATCAGAATCTTGAAATTTTTAATAGCATAACTTTTAATTTTATATTAAATTGTGACGACGTAATTCAAAATTTTCTCATAGTTTAGTCTGTGAACTTATAGGGGGCACACTTATAAAAGCTTAACAAATCCAAAAACTGCTAAAAATCGTTGGTTTAATTATTTTTCAACTGCCATTTCCTCACCCTACAATGAAAGACTGTGATACATGCAATGTCCATGTTAGGATTTCCAAAGATCTGAATTTTGTAAATGCCCAATATTGGACACCAGCGTCATGTTTTTTATGTATTTAATCCTCTTATTGATAATATGATTCCTAATAATTTAAGCTTTAAATAATATTCAACCTAACATCTGCTTGTAATGGAGCTCAGATATTATTTGTGGCAAGAATTTTTGTGACTGTACTGCTCAGCACTTCTATTTACATCAGCAGTGCTAAATGCCCAATGGTGAGAGGGGAGCCAATCAGATGGCAGATTAGATGTCAACTCAGAGGCAGCTGTCTGGAGACTATTACAGCCAGTTTACCTCCACAATTCAAATTCCAAACCTTGCAAAGGAGATCAAGTCAGTCTTCAGGCTCAGCCTCTGAGCAAGGAACGGCAAGATTGCAGGACACTTCTAATGACGCTGTAGGACTTGGGTGACAGCAAATTAAAGAAAATCCAAATAAATCCGAGCCAAAAAGATCAATTTTCACTGGTCTGCTATTTTCCTGGACTTGCTGAATAAAATGTATGCCTAATCCATGATCAAAATAAGTTCAATTTACCCGGAATGTGTTCCTTTCAAACAGCCTATCTGTTGAAGGTGACTCCTTTCAAGCAGCCCGTAAGCCAAAAATGGATTTCCTGGCGATTCTTAGGAAAGAATCGATATATTTTAGAATATCCTACCTCCTCATCGGTGTACGCTTGGGTATTATTTTTGCTACCCAACATTCCGACTCACAGCCCGCATCGAAAATCTCTGAATGGCCGGGCATAACTACGAAAAACACACTCGGTTGCCACAAAGATAACCTATTTTTCCTCCTTCACCTTGGAAGCTAGGAGGGAACGTGGTGTGGCTGGAGGTAGGACAAAGTTCCTCATTCTTTCCCCCAGTTAAAGCTCATTGTTGGCGCTGAGAAGACGGGGTCAATATTCCCGTCCAGACCGTACCGGCCAGAGCGCCGATTTCGTTACAAAAGCCGCCCGACCGTCCCCGGCGCCCACCCGGCTGCCAGGCGGCGCAGTCCCCGGCTCCGGCGCGCGCGGCTCGGGCCTGGGGTGGGGTGGCGAGGCGGGGTGCTCGGCCGCCGGCAATGCCCGCGCCCGGCCCGGCCCGGCCCTCGGCCAGACCCCTCGCCAGGCCCCCGGGCCGCGCACTCGGACCCGGTGCGCGCCCCAGCCTCGGAGGGAGGCAGCCGCGACTTAAAAATGGCTTTGGGCGCCTCGCCCCCGCCTCCCCCGGCACAAGACGCAGAAAAAGTACGCGGAAAGAAAGAAACTAGGGCTCGCGGCGCGCGCCGAGGCCGCCGCGGCGGAAGCAGGCCCGGCCGGCGCGGGGGTTACCTGGGATCTGCCCATGGTGGGGCCGGGGGTGCCGGGGCTCATCGCCGGGTGGCTCCTTTGTTGCGCGGCCGCCCAGGCCGGGCTGGCAGCGGCGTACTGGGCGCCCATGTCCTTGCCCAAGCCCATGCCCGCGGCCGCCTGCTGGCCGCCCGCCGCCGCCCCCGCCGCCGCCTGGGACTGGGGCTGCGACGGCGGCGGCGGCGCGCTGGGGCTGCTGTAGTCGGTATAGCTGCCGCTGTAGCTCCTCATCATGGGGCTGGGCGAGGTGAGCAGCTGGTTGAGGGTCGGGGTGGCCCCCGACGGGTGCTGGTTCTGTCCGGCGAAGCGCTGGAAGCCCCCTGCCGCCGCGCCGGCGGCCGCCTTGCTGAGGCTCGCGGCCCCGCCGCCCCCGGGGCCCATCATCATGCCGCCGCCCTGCTGCCGGGGGGAGTTCAGCACCCCGTACCCCGAGGACGAGCCCCCATAGCCGCCGCCGCCGCCTCCTGCTGCTGCTGCCGCCGCCGCGGCCGCCGCCGCCACAGCTCCCGCTCCTGCTCCTCCTCCTCCTCCTCCTCCTCCGCTGCCTCCTCCTCCTCCTCCTCCGCCTCCGCCTCCGCCGCCGCCGCCCGCGCCGGGCCGGCTGTAGCCCGGATAATGGTTGTACTGGCTGTTGGGGTACCCTTCGTGGGAGTTCTGCAGGGGGTCCATGCTGCTGGGGGCTCCGGCGGCGGCTGAGGCGGAGTGCATCATCCCCATCCCGGGGCTTTGTTGTCCGCCATGTTGATCAAAGCAAGGCCCGGCGCGGCCGCCGGGGCCGCCGCTCGCAGGGGCAGCGCTGCCATAGTAATTATTAAACTCGGAGACGGCCGCCGGGCCGCCGCCGCCGCCCCCGGGCACGGCGACCGGCTGAGGCTGCTGCGCGCCCAGGGCGCCCAGGCCCGGGTGCTCGTACCGGCCGCCCGCCGGCTCCCCCATCTTGGGCGGCGCGTCGTCCTCGTCGCCCGGCTTGCTCAGCAGAGGCTGGCCCGGGGGGTCGGCCTGGCTGCCCGCGGCACTGTCCTTGGCGCCTCCATGTTGCGGCTGCTCCATGTCGGGACCGGGCTGAGCCGCGCCGCCGCCCGCGCCGCCGAGGCTGTTGTTGTTGGAAATGGGATGTTGCTGCTGCTGCTGCTGCTGCTGCTGCTGCTGGAACTGGTTTAGCTGCTGCTGTAGTGCGTGGTGGTGGTGGAGGTGGTGGGCATGGTGGTGGTGGTGGTGGGCATGGTGGTGGTGGTGCTGCTGGTGGGGCGGCGCGGAGGGGGCCTCGCCAACGGTTTTCAGTGTGTGGTTGGGGAGCAGCCCCGTCTCCATGGCCGAGCCCGGGCCCGACGCGGAGGAAGAGGAGGACGCCGCGGAGGAGGCGGAGGACAGCGCGGCGGCGCTTCCACCCTCCTTGAGAGCCGCCTCGGATCCGCCGCTCTTGGCGCTGTTAGAGCTGGCGGCGGCGGCCGCGCTCGCGTGATGGGCCATGTTCAGTTCGTGACGGGGGTGCAGGGGGTGGTGGTGCACACTGTTCAGGCCGTCGCCGCCGCTGCCCCCCAGCATGGGTCCCGGGGCCGCCGCCGCCGCCGCGCCGCGCGTCCCCGCCTCCAGGTCCCGGGCCCCGGGCGCCGGCCGCGGCCCGGGGGGCGCCCGCCGCTCGCCACTGCCTGCCCGCGACGACGCCGCCGCCGCTGCTGCCCGCGCGGCCATGATCGCCGCGGCGTGGCGAGGCCGGGCGGGGGGTGGGGGGAGACAATAAAACCCACTTTTTAGTCCGCGGCCCCTCCTGTGCGCATCCACACGCCCCGACGGGGATCGAGCGAGCCCCCTCCCCCTCCGAAGGCCCCGCCGGAGCCGAACCGGGAGTCACGCCTTACGGTCTGGGCCTGCTCCCGCTGTGTGATTTCACGGTGAAAGTTTTGAGTTCAGGTTTAAATGAAAACTTTTTTCCTCTCTAACCCGGATATGGGTAAATACACGACTGGCTGAGCCGATCGGGCCCAGCACGGCATGAGAGGGAGCCGAGCGAGCCCGAACAACTATTATCCACTTCTCTCTGATTACTCGTGTGCACTCGCAAAACGCGGACTGGACTCGGCGGGCCGCCGCCGCCGCCCTCCCGGCCCTGCGCCCGCCGCCCGCCCGGGCGCATCCTCGCCAACACCCGGCGGCCCGGGCCGGGGGACTTGGGCCGGCTCGGCCGGCGCCCCGAGCGCGGCGGCCTGGGGCGGCTGGAGGCTGCACTTTCCCCTCGTGCCTCCGTCTCCTTGCCAACCGGGTGTTCGCGTATTTGTTTTCACGTCTAAAAGGAACGATACAAAGGTGGAAAACGAGTCTGACGAGCAGACAAAAGAGGGAGAAGGGCTGGGGAACAAAGTTGTCTGTTGGCCTCAAAGGTGACGAGGAGCCGACGGAGAAAGAAAATATTGGGCAATCTGTGCAAAAGCACTGCCTCTCCCCGGAGTTATGTAATTTTTCAGAATGTTAACCTCTCTGCCTTGATTTCGGACCATCAGCATCTAATTCCCACAACTTCTATAAACTGCAAAATTAGGAGAGTTTAAATGAATGTTTGCCACAGTGGAGGAGCACTGTACCCTGTACACAGCAGGTACTCAATAAATGCCTACGATTGACTACATCTGCCCCAAAGATGATGTTAATATTTTTTAAGGCACCTTATGTATGTATGTAGGCAAGCTTATTGGTGAAAAAAGTATTCCCAAAGGAATGCCTTTCTTAAAATACACTGTCTGTCCTCTCCCTGAAAGGAAAGTCTTCAAGTATGAAGAGTGGTGTGTTATGCTCCAAACACCTTGCAAATGGAAATTTAACTATTGGTGCCATAAATAGTGACAGCTAAGGTTTATCTCATACGTTCATAAATCTATATGACGCCCTTCACCATATTTCAGAGGTTAATATCCACAATTAACCCTCCGAATATGAGTTCATTTCTAAGTAATTTGAAAGCAAACTAAAACATGTTACATTTAATAAACATAAGATCAATAATAATATGAATCAGTTTTTTCTAATCCGAGGGTAGAAATGTTTCATGCTTTGTTCTTTAAACAAAACTATCTATTGTTTTACCACCTTACAATGTTTTTAAGTATGTTTATTGTTAATTTATCACCAGGTAACACCTTGAATATCTTCAATATCTTGAATAAGAAGCAGGACTTCTTAGCCTAAGCAATGGCGGCTTAGTTGTGCTAAGGTGGACTCAGTTTTCATGGAGAGAAAGCATTTGAAACCAGAGCTTTCATTTTATATATATATATATATAAAATATACATATATGGTATGATTTTGGTAAAATGTAGCTTTATAAGACTATTTTACTTTATATCAAGTGCGGGGGTTATTTTGGTTTGCTTGACCATGTGTAAATATTACTTGACTAAATAGAAGAGGATCAATGGGGGAAACCAGGGACTAATTGGGGGGGAAGGGAATCAGGTGCATACCCAAGGGTCATTATAGAATGTAGAAACAACACGTTGCAATCCTATGCAAACAACTGGAAAACACGGTTATATCATCCTGTGTAAGAGAGTAACAGACCTGTAAGGTGAATTCATGCCAAATTATTCATCAGTTTTTGCCAAGAGACTATGACATCTTTATTAGCATGACTTTTTAACATTTTTCTTTTGGATTTTCTCCCTTTATAGATGCAAGTACAGTGCATACTAATTATATGCATTATATCACATAAGTTGAATTTTTAAGTTTTTCATATGCAAATATAAGTATATGTTGTATATGTGTGTATATATACATATATTCTAAAATCAGTTACATATTTATGATTTTAGACATTTATAGTCAAGCTAAAATATACATACAGTCATCAAAGTACATTTTTTCAAACTGATAAAATATATCAAAGCCAATTCATCCAAGGGTGGCCATATTTCTGGCTTATTTTTACAACTAATTCTGAAAGGGAAAATGAGTCACCAACTTCAGCTCTGGCCCATTTCTTTAAAATACTATTTCATCTAGAAAATCATGAAACTAAAAAAATTGAAAGGGTATATAAGTCAAAATCTCTTTTAATTCCATTTGCTTCAGCAAGTCATCTAGAAGACTGGAACCAAGAGGCAATGCAATAGAGGCCCCAGCACAATGAAATCAGTCTGCTATAAAAGGCGACACATGCCAGCTTCTCCTCCCCGATGGCAGATGCCACACCCTGAAGCAGACAGAAGGCAATGCAGTCTGTAAGAGAAGCACAACACAAAGCCAGCAGGACTTGGTTTTGTCTTTTAAAACAAAAAGCTAAAATACCTTTCTAAAGGCTTCTTGCTGAACATGCATAGTGGGCTGTTACGTATTCAACTTACATTTTTCAGACACACCTTCTTGGGAAACAAAATTAAGGCCTCTTAATAGTTTCATTTAAAAATCCAGGACTTGATAAACAAAACAGCAATTGTCAGGGGTCTGTCAGAAAGTGATGAAATAGGTTCACATTTCACACAAGTGCAACCTGAACCGTAGATTGTAATTTCTACTGTCACTTGCCTCCATTATCCTATGTGGCAATTCTACTTTATTTTCTTTTTTGATTAAAAGGTAGTAGAAATCACCACATTCATTTTTCCTAATGAATTCCTTATTTTGACACCTCTTGCCTAAATTTCAAACCCTGATGACAACTTTAATAAGTTGACCTGGCCACAAGCGAGCCGCAGAGGCCAAGGCCCGAAAAGCTGCCCACAACAGGCCGCCCCCCTTCCCCCGCCACAGGTTTGCCCCACACCCTCCTGTTTGGCCAGCGGATTATCCGTTATTTTGTTAAACATTCCTTTTTGGCTGCGAAAAGGGCTTGCTTTTTTAACGATATGAAAAATTAATATTGAAATAACAGTTCCTTTTGAATAAGTTTTCGGCCACTGAATAAAAGCCTGCCCGACGCGCCCACTCTCGGAGGGCTGAGCCAGATGGCGGTTTAAGAACGCGCCGCAGTTTCTGTTCTATTTGCCTCATCGGACCCCATCACACTGTTTGCTTTCAGATTAGTCCCCTTTTACTGTTCTGGGTATTTATTCAATAACTGAAACTATTACGATTCACTACCCATCATATTTCTCAGTATTCTTTACATAATTTGGAAGCAATTTAGAAGAAAGCCCTGTCAAGGTTTTACAAATAAGAACTATTAAAGAATAAGGCTTTGGATACTTGCTTTCCTTTTAGATTTATGAGAAACGCGATGAATGGAGCTAATGGGATTTCCCTACTGATCCTGGTCAGGGACTTTAAAAAGCACTAAACAATTGTCCTTTTCACTTCTCCGATTTAGATGTTAGCAGTGAATAACTAAGTAAATGCAAGATATGGGATATACCATTTGATTTGAAACAACTATGTAAATTCACAGTGGCCCATAAGTTTAGGTTGCAAAACAATTAGGATTTTTTAAAATCTAAGCAAATAGTTTGAATAAATAGTGGGGATTCGGATGATCAATAGCATTATTGCAGTAGGAAGAATCTTATAATGGGGATAATAAACCTTGATGGGGGGAAACACTACACTGATTCATTCAACCAATTTATCTAAAATCTACTTTGTGACATGCCCAGAGAATAAAAAAGGTAAACATCACCTTGGTCTTGTCCCCAGTAGGGGAGAAAAACAGGGCTGCCCTGAAACCCCAAGGCGGACTTGACCAGTCAACAAGCGGGCGCAGGCTTCCCTCCCACCCCCACCCCGACATCTTCCCCTGCGAGCCACCACCTCGGGCAGCTCTGACTTGATACTGGGAACCCACCACGGTTGGAGCTAGATGTTCAGAACTTTAAGTCAAATGCAACCTTAGACCACTGCAGTTTCTCTCCAAAGTCCCTCGACACATAGTAAAGCCAGCGAAATAAATAAACACTTTATTGCATTCTAGAACATTGTGCTTCTTATCTTAAACTAGACTGTCCACATTTGGAATGCTGCATAATAAGTATTTTTTTATTATAGCCTAGTTTAAAAATGTTCCGTGACTTTGAGACAAATATGTGTTTAATGGCATCTCTCATTTGATCCCCAGTATTGTCATCATTCATTTTGCCATCGTCAAAATCACTTATTGAGTACCTATTAGTGCATTTTCTCCTACAATTAAGTCATGTAATCATGGATACAGCTTCTATCCCTGATACCCTGCTGCTTGGATAAAGACACCTTATAGATCACTCGAGTTCCTCAAAGATATAAATAAGTGGGAAAGGGCCATATTTGAGGTCATACATAACAAGAATACAAAGGAAGCCATTTGGAGAGCTAGTCACCTCAATTTTCTGGAAGACTTTACCTTAGGGCCTTTTGATTGTTTTTCATATGTGATTAATTGCTTCATAGTACACATAAACTTCTAAAAGATCAAGCACAATAAATTCCATGCAACAATAACTCATGTGCACTGCTGTATTACATTCATGATTTTTATTTCACCCTGCTTATATTCAATCGCTTTGTTTCTGATTCATTAAGAGAATCCATGGGCACCTTTACCAGCAAATGACTGGATTGATGTCCATCTGATTGCCCTGGGAAGGGCCAAAGGACTTGCTATCTGCTGCTTTTCTTTTCACACAAAATGACAATTTCATTGAGGAATTTGCTTATCAGTATATTCCTCTAAAAATGCCCAAGTAGTTAGGCATAAGTTTCTCTTCCTAACTTTAAGGGAAGTTCCACAT